ACAGGGATTCACTGCACTCACAAATCGTCCGTCAAGACTACAATTTGAAAACTTTTAGAAATCGATTATTGTAAACGAAACAATTTGACTATCGTTTATAGTCTGTATTCGATATCGATAAATCCTTTGTCTGTGTCGACTTCCTATTGATTATCTTTATCGCCATGTATCAATATCGTTCTCTGTAATTTTCCTTAATAAATGAAGTTAACATAGTTTTTTTCAACCCAAAACCCAACAAGTATTAAATAATACGATTAATTACGAACTATCAAACATGATACGATAGACAACCAAAACATTTCATGTTCTGTCTTACATTACATTCACACATCCATAACATTTCGAATTAGTTGGAAAAACTTAAGATAAATTGTAATTTACGGTTGTTATAATTTGGCAGTAAGGTATAGTGCCTCAGAGATTCATTTGTTTTAAAAAACTATTCTTACCTTTTGCTAGTTTTAAAAGGGATTTAATTTATAAATACACTTTGATATTATCTATTAATTGTTTACTAAGGCTCCAGTTACTTTGAATTGATTCTATTTTCCTTATCAAAGATTAAGGCCAGCTCCGGTAAAGTAAACAATGCACTAAATTGTTTAGAAAATAAATAGCTTTCCTTAAGCTTTAAGCTCACTAATTGATTCTATTGAAATTGCTTTTTGCAGTTAGAGTAGTTCTCATTTTACATGAAAAGTACATTTTAAAGATATTTCAATTAGCAAGCTACAAAAGTGGAACACCGAAAAAAGTATCGAGTGTGAAGGAAATTGTAAATTTGACATGAAAGTGAAATAAAGGATATCATCATCCACTTGCCCTTATCCCTTACGGAGGGTCGGCACGGTATGTGCTGCTCCATACATCTCTATCAGCCGTCATATCTGAATCCACTCCTTTCTTAAGCATATCCTCTTTCACACAATCCATCCATACTTCCTTCGGTCTTCTCTTCCTTTGTAGCCATCCACATTCATTAACACTTTCAGGTTTATGTCTCCGTCTCGTCGCATAACATGTCCATACCACTCTAACCTTTTGCTAAATAAAAGACAATAATGGAAATCAATTCTTTCTATTTTATTAGCAGTTTCAACACAATTTAATACAAATTATACTAAAAATATAGATACACGGTAATCGTAATAACTTAAAATATACACAGGCTTAAGAAGTTTTTGGTCGATATACGAAAACTTTTATACAATGAAGGTCCTGAAAAGGGACTTCAGTTACGTAAAGACTTTACAAGAGACTTCTTAATAACCATATAAGGATTCTATTTAGTTAGACTTGTATTTAAAAAAGTTATCTATCTTAGATTCAATGAAACTGGCGATTTACATTTATTTTTGGATACATTTAAAAATAATCTTTGTTTTTTTTTTCACCAAAAACGCATAAAAACTCAGAAATAATAATAGTCAATTTGTATGTCTTCTTTTGTTTTATACAAGTCATTTAGTCAAAAAAAATCTTTGAATTCAAAGACTTTAAAACGGTATAGACAGGAACGGATTAATAACTTATATTTTTAAATAATTACATTAAATCTTAGAGAATCAGTCTTAGAAATTAAAAGTAAAATCCTCAAATAGTTAACCTTTAGTTTCCACAGTCGAAACAATTACAAAAACATTTTGCGGTGTCTTTTTTTTTCTTATCGACAAAATCGAGATAATATGTTTTTGACAGTTTTGATACAGTGAAAACCAACGCTAAGAATGTATCAAATAAATTGTACGTAACATATTTAAGGATTTTACGAAAATGTAAATTGGTTAAAGAAATGAAACATTTTATTATTATTTATATTTATAAAAAAACTCTTATTTAAATCTACTTAAGATATTTCTTTGCCATTTTGTATTTAAAGCTTCGTAATTTTAGGCTCATTTGAAAACATATCAAAGCGATATAAAATTTTATATTCTAAAAGAATTCATTAAAACTCGGTACGTTTGAATTAGTGAAACGCCTTTAAAAAACCAATAGCAATATTTTTTTACAAACACTTTTTTCAATTATATTATACGACTTTTGGTTAGTGTAAAACAACGTCTATGTAATTCTGTATGCATATTGTAATTTAATTTCATCTTGCGTGCCATTTCTAGACATTTTTATTTCTATATTTCAAGGTTCTCTATCCGTTATACAGCCAAACAAGTTAGGGTCGCATGAAAGTTTTAACTTCGTTGCAATGTTAGTAGCAAACCCTAACGTGTGTTGCCTACATTCATTTCACAAATAACTTAACCTAAACACGAGATCAAATAGTCCAAAAAAACTGTTATCACTTCACTATTTTTTTTAAATTACACTTCACATGTTTGCGTTCAGTAAGTAATGTTTATAAAAATGTACATTTTCAAACCTAACTACACTTCACTAATTACACGTGAGTACCGGCTGCCAAATGGGAACCATTACCTGAAATGCAATTTTTAAATTAACTTGATAATTCAGTCTACGAAACATGGGCGATACAGGGGGGTTAGCTATCCCCCCTCTAAAGCAAAAATCTTACTAATATTATAAATGCGAAAGTTGAGATGTTTGTAGCCTAAACTGCTGAATAGATCTCGATAAAATATGTCATAGATATAGAGGATAATCTGAATCACATAGGCTACTTGCTTTTGTTTTTTTTTATTCCTCACGGACGGAGTCACGAACAAAAATTCAACTTTTGTCAGCGACTCCTTTCCCATGGAATTTAAAGAAGTAAGTGAAATTTGCATCTATGTAGAGGATAGTCTGGAAGAATATGTGTTCTTACTTACTGGCTATGTGGCTACTTTTGTTTCTTAATTCTATGCAAAGTCGCGGGCGAAAGCTAGTTTAAAATAAAGGACTACCTTTGGTAATTTGACAAGACTGGAGGTTCCCTTGACTGGACGGCGGGAGGATGTACAGAGCTCCTGCAGACTGAGGCGATGCTTTAGGAACCTGCAGTGAAAGTTTACTCTTATTCTTTTATGAGATTCAATTAAGAAAGCGTTCGAACCCACTAAGCGATCACCATTTGCTTTTGAAGCACTTCGCTGCCGCTTACAATCTGACAGACGTCAAAATTTTAGTAAAATTTTGAGTTTTAATGAGGCCTTATCATTTGTTACTGAACAAATAATAGGCGCTGTAAATATTTCAATGTTTTTTTTTAATTCTGAAGGATTCGACCATTATTCACTATGATTAAAATTGAAATCGAGAAAACATATGTATCATTTCGTAGCTAATTTGTTTTTTTTTTTGTTGCATATCAAACTTAGCGACATTAGAAGAATGGGTGATGCTACTTACTTGTGGTTGAGCGCTGCTTGTTGATGATGAAGACGCTAAAGGACTGGTGACCGGTCGAGATGATGATGATGACGATGGTGATATCACATTCGGACCTGTTAAAACAGTTAAAGAGTTATTCAAGATTGTATAACTATCGTGAGTTGGCACGTAGGGCAGTACAATATCCCCATTGCATACGTGCCAAATTTAGTGCGTTTATTTGTAATTGGAGTATTAGAATAGACTATTGCCTAATGTCTAAATGAAATCAAATAAAAATAAACTTAAATGGATTTTAATTTAATAAATACTCTTTAGTTTTTTTTTTTAATTAAATTTTCAAGTAAGAATATCGTTGGAGTAACTTGATAAGGGTCCATTGTTTTACTTTGTACTTACCATTTGGTGGGTGGTTATTACTTCTGAGGGTGTAATACGGGGGTGGGGCAGACTTTGCGGGGGATGTATTGGCGTGGGCTGCATATGCTATACATAAAAATAAATTCGATTAGAAAATTCAATTTGTTTTTTACCTCAACAAACATCAATATGTACCTATAGCATATTTTTACAGTATAAGTTGACAAACCAGCAATGTTTTCTATGAAGTCGTGGTATTGCACTGGTCGAGACGGTACAAAAAGGGTGCAAAAAAATGAACCTTACTTAATTTAAAGTATTGAAGTAAAAAAGAAAGATATGTCCAAAGACTTACCTATAGGACCACTAGCTCTTAGATAAGGATTGCCATAGGTCGCTGCATATCTAACATCCAAGCCACCGCCAAGAACCACTCCGGGATTACCCATTGGTATTACTAAAAAAAAATAGGAATATATATCAACATCTAATCATCAATAATTTGCAAAGCACCAATAGTCTAATGGTTTGTGGTACGGACTACCGATCTTGCGGTCGAGGGTTTGAACTTCGACTATTGTCATAAACCATATCCTGGTACAAGCTTAGAGCTTATTTGAAATGGTTAAAGAAATATTAGTAAAATAACATAAATCTACAAAAATTTTGATTAAAAAAAATTCAACAGGCTGTACGCAGAATTACTTCCATCTTCTGTGTGGTCTACCATTAAAACATCTTTGACAATACGAAGTTTTACTACAAAAACTGTTGTCGAATTTAAGTATTAACTCACGATCCGGTCCAACTAGTCCACCCAATCTTCCACTACTGCTCTGTCTTCGGAGTGACCCACAATGACTGAGGTAAGTTGACTCATCAGTACTTCTAGATAAGGACCCGGAGAGGGAATCTGATGTCAAAGGGGGAGCGTAATCTCGCGCGTAGTCTACGTAAGGCACGTAGCCGTTGCCATGACCTTGAGCCTAGAGGAAAAATTTAAACCAAAGTCAGTACAGTAAAAAAGTAACAAATGTTACTAATTTAAAAAATGCGTAAGTTTGGATAGATGTTTGTTAGAGTTTGTAGCCTAAACGGTTGAACTGATCTTAATGAATGGCTTAGGTGTAGAGGATATTCTGGAAGAACACATAGGCTACTTTTTATCCCGGTAATTGTTACAATTCCCGTGGAATACACTTATTTTGTTTCATCATGTTTACTCGATATTACTGCAACAGTTCAATGTATTTTAATGAAATTTGGCACATATATAAAACAAAGAGTGATGTAACATATTTTTTTTTCTTAATACTGCGCGGATGAAGTCGTGAGCAACACCTAGTATGTAACAAACAGGTTTTGACCAAAATATGAAAAAATTAATCAAAACTGATATGAAGAATGTTACATAATTAGGCTTGTATGTTAAAGAAGCCATATTCTAGTTGCAATTATAAGAAAAATGTTTGCATATAGGCTAGAGTCGCTTAAGTACATTCTTAACCTCTTTAAAGATGCCTTATGTAACCTTATTTAATAAATAATGTAGAATAAATTGTATTCCTACGAAATATAAACTATTATAACGCGCAAACCTTGGACTAAAAAACCACACAACTGTTTAGTCTTGCTTTGATTACTGATATGGATTACTAGCTTTCGCTCGCTACTCCGTCCGCGTGGAATTAAAAAAAATAAATTGAGTAGCCTATGTGTCCTACCAGACTATCCTCCACATCTGTGCCAAATTACATCGAAATCCGTTCAGCCGTTTAGGCTACAAACTCTAATAAACATGCATGTATCCATCCATCTAAACTTTGGCATTTACCATATTACAATGAAGTATGATAGACTACTCGATAGCTGTGCAACTAAACAGTTGAATTGACTGCAAAACAAGACAATCGCACAATTGTGCGATAGTTTAGTCAAAGATATGCGTCCGTTCTTATACTTAGAAATCTGGAATATGAAATAAAAAGATGCGAATTTCTACGAACAATGTTGCTAGTTACATCAGTTAGAATAATTATCTGGAACAATTCTATTCAATAATCTTTTGTCTCACGGAACAGCGTCAGATTACGTTTTACGTTACAAGTATTATATTTCTTGTCACGTACAACTTATAAGGTTTGAAGTAATCATTTAGTTGATGGAATGTTTTCGTTTATGGTTTCGTTAAAGAAGCCAAGGTATCAAAACATTATATTTAAACTAACTTTCGCCCGCGACTCCGTTCGCGTGGAATTAAAAAAAAAAAACAAAAGTGAATAGCCTATGTGTTCTTCCAGTTCCAGTTCCAGTTCTATTCTTCTTCTACATCTATGCCAAATTTCATCGAAATCCGTTCAGCCGTTTAGGCTACAAACTCTAAAAAACATCCATCCATCCATCCATCCATCCATCCATCCATCCAACTAAACTTTCGCATTTATAATATTAGTACGATAATAAAGAAATTTTTGCTCCAAAAAATTACTTATGCGTTGATACTACTCAGAAGTAGACCAGATAAATGAATTACGTGAATATGATCAAGAAGGGAGTGATAACTGAGACGACGGATGATAGACTTATGTGGAGGACAAAAGGATTATTCCCAACCCTCAATCCGCTCTGTCCCCACTTGTGAATAAAAAGTCATCCATCCCACCTTTTAGTCCTATTATCACCAATAAGGTGACAGATGGAACTGTTATAAATTAAATAAGTACCAACCATCCCCTTTCAACAAAAGGTGGGATGGATGAAACTTTTTATTCTCATCTGTTCCCACGTGGGGACAGAGCGGGGTTACGATTGGGAATATTCCGGACAAAATCCTGTTGCCCCGACCCTGCGAGAGTAGGATGACTACTGAGAGATTGGTTCAAACTTTCTATAAAATAAACTTTTTAAAACAGACTAAATTCAGAGGTTTTTTAAATCAAATCAACTAAAGGAGATCACTTAAAAATTATATGTACAAGACACGAAGGACTAATACGCAGAATTAAAATACCTTTTGAATATTCATCAGTCAATTTAAAATAAAAGCGCATCTTCATGCAAATTGACTTTTTATACTAAAAAGACAGTACTTTATGCGCATAATAACATAGTGGGTATACTCGACGGCAAATTAATGTCCACTTCCAAGTATCGTAGTCCGCAGTGACAAAACAAATGAAATGCGAAGCTCGCGACCATTAAAGTGACATGTACACTCGCCGACATCGGTACGGATTGTTGCAGTTGAATTAAGTGTAGTTTACAGTTCTACATGTGTAATCGATACTAAAAAGTAAGTAAATGTATTGAAGGTAGTATGGAAATCAATAATAAAGAACTTTTAACGGTAAAAAAAATGTATAACAAATACTAAGCTAAACGCCAAAGGTGTTAAATTAAACTTAGTTAGCAAATAAATCGGAAAAAAATCGTCATGCGGGAAAGGACAAAAACAAGCTGACTACATCAAGGAAGCAAGGTTACGTGGTAACGGTAATTGTTAACCAATGTCAAAAGCCTTCGTTGTCATTTGTGCATTTGAATTTTAACATTTGCAATTAAGAATTTGACAAAAGTAAACAATAAAATAAAATTTTTATAATGTATCCGGATATGGCCGTCCCGTGCGGCTAGTATACATAATATAATTTTACCTTAATATGCATGTTTAGTGGTTGATTAAAATCCCCACTATATCGTTGGTATTGCTTCATGAGCTCGTTGTCGTATCCGGAGTCCGGCAGGGGCACAGGGCCGGCGAGAGGTAAGCCGAGATTCGTAGTCAGGTGTAAAGTGGAATGATTGTGGAGTTCACTTTCTGAACCGTTATTGGAGATGTCCTGAAAGATCTCAATATATCTAAATGGATTCGTAAGAATTAAGTGAGTTAGTACTTTATAAAGACAATTCTTGAAGAATATACTAGTCTAGTAGAGTGAAAAGGATAATCTTGGTTACGGTTAAAACACAAACAGAAACTGTCTCCGGCTCTAATAAGCACATTCAAAGACGAAAGAACAAAAAAAACTAATTCAGAGTTGTAACCCACACTAAAGAAAATCTACTTTAGCGGGTGAATACTGAAACGTCATTTCAATAGATAACAGAGTCTTAAACGATAAGACCACCCCTCAACTTCGAATTCCATCCAATTTTCCAAAACGAAGTATTCAAGAATAGTTTCAATATTTGGCCGTAAGGAAGTCTTTTAAAGTAGAAATCTCAAATAAATACATCAATCTATATTTATTTTAATTATATAATATAACGAAGAATCTCATAACAATCAATTAAAACTTCACGCATATAACACCAATCAATAGCGTCATTTACTTTCTAAAAATCTTAAAAGAATACATAAAAATTCAACAATCATACCATATCACAGCTGCCTTCAACTTGTCTAAGTTCCATCTTCAAATCACTGATATTAGAGTTACGATCACTGTCTTTGAACTGATCGACACAAGTCTTCCCAATGTCTGTGATATCAGGTTTCTTTACATCAGTCTTGTTTGATTTGCGATGACACAACATTATAATTAACATCACTATTAGGAGAAGAATAGCAGCACCTGCTGCACTACTAATTACGATTAGTAGATTGAAAGATTCTGCAATTAAGAAGATATAGGAATATAAGGAACTAACCTGTGGCGCCGCCCCTACAGGGATAAGGAAGAAGATGATGATGGTGTTAACAATATAGGCAACTAACGAGGCAGTACAACACTACAAACTGGTGAGCACATTTCAAGTAAGATAAAGCAAATTAAAAAAGTACATTTTTGATATACATAAGCCGCCTAAACTGCTGAATGATCTCGATAAATGTAGAGGATAGTCTGGAAGAACACTGGCTACTTTTGATCCCGGAAATAGTTAAGGTTCCCGTAGGATACATTTTCGCTGGATATTAACTCAACAATTCTGCAACGGTTTAACATATCTTACTGAAATTTCGAGCATGAAACAAAGTATGAAGTAGCACATTGGTTATGGTTCATCCCCAAAATTCAGCTTCCCGAGAGATACATAGCTTTTTTTTGTTTTTCATAGTTTAATACTGCGTGGTGAAAAGCTCGTGTTACAGCAAGTATTTAAATGCTAGTTTTTGAAAAACTTACTGTCCGGTATCAGAGTAATCTCAACTGTGTCAGTCCCAAAGGAGTTGGATACACTACAGTTGTAAGTCCCAAAGTGTTTTATCTGACTCTCGCGTATTATCAACGTTGATTTGCTGGTACGATCGGTTAGTGTCTCTTCTAAAAACGCATATTCCTGTAAATAATTCTTACATTAGTAAATATTATTTGACAGTGGTAGAGTCCGCTTTAACATCTTTGCACTGTATGGTTCACAACAAAGAAAACAGGCGTGAAGTGGAAGTAATTCTGTACACGACAGTCCGATCAATGTGCGTTCCGGAGGCTTTATTTTAGTCCCTTTAGAAAGTGATTTTGATAATAGAGGAGACGCATAGAAAGGGGAAGTTTTCCCATTTATGTGCGTCTCTTACTCCGTCAGTTAAAGGTAATGCATCTGCAATTGCGGATGTCTATGGGCAGTGTTCGCTTGGCCTTTTCGGTGAATTAAGGTAAACTCGCTGGTTTGCCACCATATAATGTAAAAAAAAAATATGTCAAAAACGATAAACATTTAACCTCATAAAGAAGTCATTAAATCGATTAAAGTAGATACATTTTACATTAAATTGGATATTAGTGAAAGAGTAACAAAAAATATATAATATTTATACTCACTTGATTATGAAATGAATTAATTTCATTTCCTTCAAAACTCCAAATAACAAAATCCGGCTTCGGAACTGAGAAGGATATACATTCAACTCTAACGCTGTCTCCTTCTACGCCGTATTGTGTTCTATTTGATATGATTTTCGGTGGTCCTAAAACAAAAATAATTTTTTAGTTTAAAGAAAACGCGCCGGGATGGTATATAAAGGTGCAAATCTATAGGAGTTTACGGGAGTTCACTAAAGGCAGATAGGAAACTATTTGCCTCTAGTGAACTCCATATCCGATACGATTGAGGCGATTATTTTACGTTGGTAGTCTACTTCAGTGAGCTAATGATTTTAAAAATAAGTCACTAAAATTCACATAATTCGTATATCAATATCCAATTTATCTTCTAGTTAGAATAAAACTAATAAAAACAACAAGAAAAGTTAATCAATTAACTAAAACATAAAACAATCAACAAACAGAATAATTTAAAGCTAAATGCAAACTGGGATTATTTTATTCAGACTTAGCGTTTTCTAGACTTTTCACCAACAATGTTTAATAAGTTTACTTCGGAAAATTTTATGACATAACTTTCTTAGTTTTGACTTCAAAGTATCGTTAGTAAAATCAACAACAAATATGATCTGTGTAAAAAGTATGATGCCTAAAAACCACGTAAATGTAAACATATTGTAAAATTATTGAAATATAGATAAAAATATACTCCTTACCTTTAACAAAGACCATTGCTGATGCTTCAATGTCAGGGTAACCCTCAACACTCGCCCTGCACCAATACTGGCCAGCGGATTGTCTAGTCACCGTCACTGTTAGATTTGTTGATTTGCCAACTCTCTGTAAGAAAATATCACTGAAGTAACAATGAGACGATCTGATGACGTAACAACTCTTGCATAAAGCCAAAAGTGTAGATTAAATTTCTCATTTCTATTCAATTCGAGACATCAACTTGCCCTGTCCCTACAGAGAGTTGGTATGCTCTTCCATACATGTCTATCAGCCGTCATATCTGAATTTACTCACTTAAGCATATCCTCTTTCACACAATCCATACTTTCTTCAGTCTTCCTTTAAATTTGTAGCCATCCACATTTAATCTTAATACTTTCTTGATTATGTCCTCACCATCTCGTCGTATATGTCCATACCACGTGTATGCTTCTCAAATTTCAAATATCTTAACGCACAACTATACTTACAAGAGTTGAAAAACTATTCTGTTACGTATATTTGGTACACTTGGTACTTACAATAATCCTTTCGTTTTCATATCTCAACCAAGTTATCTTCGGTTGTGGATGTCCGTCTACAACACAGTGCATAGTGGCGATAGAACCTGAGTCTCCTTCAACATTTTGTGGCTTCACTTTAAATTTAGGGCCATCTGGAAATATACATCATTTGAAAATCCAAGTACTAAATTTTACGTCAGTGCTATAGTTTCTTGGTTAGCAAATAACAGATAAAAAAAATAGAATTAGTCATATCAAAGTGGAACTTGAATACTACGTGATACTGATCATAACCACGCTCACTTTAATAAATACCTTTTTTTTAAGTGAATACACATTGTATTACGTACAATAAATATGGACTTAATCAAATTTAATTCCACACTGAAAAGTCAATAAATCATTTGTGTTTTAGTACAAGAAAAATACTTATGATCTTCTTTACTGATCAATTAAAGCACGATATAATACGACAAATAAACACCAAAGTAAAAGATATCCGGTACGCCCACTGATCTATAGAAATGGATAGGTTATGCTTGGAAATAACAGCTTCTAATTCCAACTCAAACGATTGTTGTTAATGTTAATAATAATTGTGTCTGTATTAATATTTGGAATCCTTAGCACAACGATTGCGACCATAACATTTTTTTTATATTACAAGGTGGCAAACAAGCAAGCGGCCACCTGAATCCGCCAAAATGGCAAAGCGACCGCTGCCCATAGACATTCGCTATAGCGGATGCGTTGCCTACCCTTGATCGACGGAGGAGGAGTCGCACATAAAGAGGATATTACATTAGGAAGGACCCTATGCGTCTCCTCCATCGTCAAATCCAAGTTCCCATCCCATCCTTTTCACATAAGAAAAAGAGTGGGAAGGAAAAGGGACTAAATAATAATAATAATAAACTTAGGAAAATACTAAAAATCATAGCCTATCTATTTATAGAAGTCAGGTACTGCTACTATACAAACACAAAATATAACAATTTATTAACTTACATGCAACTTCCAGTGTTTTGGAATCGGCGCTCTTACCGACCGTATTGTGCACTTCGCATTTCACAGTCGCCTCATTATACTTGCGCGACACATTCGGTATCACCTGCAATACAACCTTTATGAAGTCTTAAGATTCTTTTCCACTGAACGACCAAGTTGCGTTGCAAAACAAATTCGTCGATTAAATAGAAAAATGACAAAATTTTCGGAAAATTAGACTTTTACTAAAAAGAACGTACTGTTAACAATATTTTTAGATAATGAAGCTTCACTCTTAATTTATTAAATTGTCTTTTATTTGTATAAAAAAATTGTTAACAATAGGCTCCTTTGTATTAGCAAAAATCTAATTTCTATTTAGTCGACAAATATATTAACGCCATAATTTACTGCATGTTGCTACAAGTTGACGACATGTGATCGTCAACTAATCGAAATAAGTAGACTCGAGTCACATACGGCAGTAGTACGCTCGCTCAGTGAAAAAGAGGTTTTACACACAAGCACGACTCGACATGAGCGTAAAAATATCAAAGTAACGACCGCAAATATGTTGGTATTGGTACCTTACTGCGAACACTCGAACGCGCTGTATCGATTCTTATACTTGCTTATATTGAGAAATATAAATTCTCGTATTTAGTACATATAAACTTGGTAGTATACAACTGTGGTTGCATATTGTTAATTAAGTTTACATAAATACTAATATTATGAACCTGAAATTGGGTTTCTAGGCGCTTTTATTTAATTTTGAATTTTGTGTTTATAAATAAATAAATAAAAATAAAATATGAGGAATGATTTGTATCTTTGTATGCATTGAAATAACTCGAAAACTACTGGGCCAATTTTAAAAACTCTTTCACCATTAAAAAGCTACATTACATAGGCTATACTTTTTATTTTATTTTTAAATTACATATTAAAAATATGGCCTATAAAGTAGTGTAAGTATACAGATAAATTACCTTTCTAACGGTGAAATCATTTTTAAAACGACCCCAGTAGTTTTAGAGTTATTTCAATATATACAAAAATACAAATCTTTCCTTTTTATAATATTAGTGTAGATAGTCAAAATTATTTTATTCCACGTTGGTAATATAAGTGAACAGTAGTTAATAATTAAAATACATTAATTTACGTCGTGTAAAGGTAACTTCATGAATATTTAGCGAAGCCACAAAAACCCATGAAGCAAGATAATTCCGTGCATTATTCAAGTATAATTTATTTAGTCGTATACATATACGCTGGGTTAATGTAAAATGCATACTGCAGGTGGGCAAGTTTGCCAAGACGAAATTTGAAAATGTTCTCTATCCCTCGGGAATTTTTGAGAAAGCTACATGCAAATGTCGCTTGTAAAATTAAAAGTTAGAAATAAAGTTACACTTATGAAACTTGCTTGCGTATGTTATAAGGTTTTAAATTAAATTTTTATATATATCTATTTATCTATACTTCTATACTAATATAATAAAGGGTAAACACAAACTTCTTTGTTGCCTAAGATGTCAGCAATCAAATTTTCGAATAAACCTTTTTTTAATAATAAGTCCTACACTTACGTCACACATTAGGCTATACATTTTCACGCCATTAAACTTAGGGAGTAAATATTTTGGATAAAAACCCTAATGTGGGAAAGAGACCATAAGTTGTTGCCAACATCAAGGAAGCAAGGTTGCCATGGTTTGACATCATGTCATGTCATTTTGACATTTGCAATTGATAATTTGACAAATGTAAACAATAAAATGATTATTTTATAATTTCATGCGAATGAAGTCGCATGGGAACAGTTATTATTTGAATAATTTTATTTTTAATAAAAATTCCTAAAATTACGACACGCTTAAGACTATACATTTTCACGCTATTAAACTTAGGGAGTAAATAATTTGGAAAAATCCGTCATACTGGAAAGGGACAAAAACTACAAGCTGACAACCAAGAAAGCAAGGTTGCTGGTAACAGAAATTATTATCCAATGTTAACGGCCTTCGTTGTCATTAGTGCATTTGTATTTTGAAATTTGCAATTGAAAATTTCACAAATGATGAAGCCACACGGGAACAGCTCACTCTTATACAAAGTTACTTTCAGGTGACCGCTAATTCGCTTAACACGTCTTATACTATAAAAATCTTATAAAAGTAGTACTTACAATTTCATTATTGACATTTCCAAAAATCTGATCACTGTTTACAAACCATTTGTAGGTTAGATTGTTAGGATTAGCAGTCGCTTGACAACCTGGAAAATATAAAATGTTAAAACATGACAGTATCAGTTGTATACATCTAACTAATATTTTAAATGTGAAAGATTAGATAGACGGGATGGATGGATGTTTGTTAGAGTTTGTAGCCTAGACGGCTGAACGGATTTCAATGAAATTTGGCTTAGATGTAGAGGATATTCTGGAAGAACACATAGGCTACTCAGTTTTGTTTTTTTATACCACCCGAGCTAAGTTGCGGGTGAAAGCTAGTATTGTATAAATATTGTATACATATGTCAATACGTATACATGCGGTATTCTTTCTGTGTGGCTTCGAATAAAAGTCTGAGTAACCGTATTTCTTTATTTGCTTCTTTCTTTACTATTTAACAATCAATTTTTACTTCTTAGTCACGCGCACACTCCAATCTTCTCACTTGCCAATCTGTCATATGTCGTCTGTCAAACTCCCCTCTAACATCCTTCCCCATACATCCGTTCCGTTTCACACCATCATCTTTCGTCTTACTTTCCAATCCTACATACATACATTTTTGTAAATTACTTTTCCCGTACAAAATGTATTCGAATAAAATTCCTTAATGAACTGTGAATATGTTCAGATAGCGTTGCTTTTTTGTTTTATTTTTAAAGACATCTTTTACTACGTGCCTGGCGCACGTTTTAAATTCATTTCTTGTATTATTATTTTTTTTGTTTTTAGAGGTTTTTAAAGAGGTATTTTAACTTGGGTTTTGAAATAATTTAAGTATAAACCAAATTAATTTATATAAACCATTTTACAGACATATTACAAATAAAATATTACTAATATCATAAATGCGAAAGTTTAAATGGTTGAAAGTATGGATGTTTGTTAGAGTTTGTAGCCGAAACTGCTGAACGGACCTCGATAAAATTTGACAAAGATGTAGAACATAGTCCAGAACACATAGGCTACTTACTTTTTTAATTCCACATGAAATCAGTCGCGGGCAAAAGCTAGTATAATACAAAAAACAAACTCACCTAATATCAATGTATCCCCTTCTTGTATTCTATTATTTTTAACACCAGTCTTTATGAAAATTCTTACCCTTGGCGCGTATTGTACCTTAAAAAAAAACATATTTTAAATTACACTAACTTTATACTTCGAGTTAATAAAAATATCCGTAACCATAATCGAGTTTTCTTTCATTGAAAAATTAAAAAAAAAAAACATTAATTTTTTTTAGAAAAAAAATCCACAAACTTACCTAATTAACATTTTTTATAAACACAATGTAAAATTAACACAAGCAGTAAAGTATGTAAGTAAATATGAAATCAAAGCTATAGGCTACTATTATTTATTATTATTAGCGAATTATTCAGCTACCCTCCGTACCAGTATAAAACTGTATTACGGCGACAGTGCAGTCAGTTACTATATCTGCTAAAAGTTACAGTACAAGCAAAATATACAGATGCAACGAAATATTTTCATTTACGTAATTACAGGTACAAATATAACGTTTCAAGATTTCCATTTAGCCCGCTTTTCAACTATCTGACATTAAATACCTCCATTCAAGAAATAATGTAGCTGAATTTTGTTAACTTTACGAAAGAAATATAAATACGAGATTCATTAAAATTCCTCTTAAAGTTGACTTCTGTTAAGAGATAAACGTGAGGACACACTAGGGTGACAAATTTTAAATAATTAAACAATACATACAAAATTGTACAAAATCTTTAAGTATAGAATAATGGTGTAAATAATCTATACTTCTATACTAATATTATAAGAGGAAACATTTGTATTTTTGTATGTATTGAAATAATTCAAAAACTATTGTACCGATTTCAAAAATTCTTTCACCGTTAGAAAGGTAAACAAAAGTAACATAGGATATGTTTTTTTTATTAATTTTTAATTTCACGCGGGCGAAGTCGCGAGATAAAAATAAATATGAATTAGAAAATTATCGTTAATTCCATAAACAGTGTAGTCAATGCTCACCTTAACATTTTTAATATTCATAAAGTCAGTTTTTGCTCGAAGAAAAAAAGCAATAATCGTATCAAGCACAATTAGACCGGGATCGAAGTTTTTAGAAGAAATGAAGGAAAGGAAACGTTGAAAATTGGTTTTGTTAATGTCAGGGTACCTTTTATTTTCTTTTATGTTTTGATCTTTCTACACGAATACGGGATAAAAAAGAAAATTATCAAGTTTATTTAGTACTAAAGTAAATATACAAGATGTGTTTATCTGTTCTCGAAATTTCGTTAAAAAGGCGTATTCTTTGCTTTACGTATTTAAGTAAATTTCAAATTACTCCGCAATTTATGGTTGAATATGCGTGATTTTATTTTTGAACACAAACTATCCAGTTTTGAGTTTTTCATAAAAGGATTACCAAAATTCCGATTTTGTCTAGAAAAAAAATAGCAATGTTTCTATATTGAATCTCCACAGTCAAGGAAGTTTATTTCCTACCCACATCAATATATCAATTGATGCTTGAAATTCAATTAGATGGAACACTGAATATAACATACGTTAATAACATACGTTACGTTTGAAAATATTTCTGTCTATAACTGTCTGTGCGATATTCGATCTTAAATGGGTAACGAATTTAATTCCTCGACTTTTACAATGTAATTAAAAATGTTAACATGGTCTTTAGTTTATTCCCCACCGAGGTATACATTACTCGGTGTCCAATGAAGCTTCAGGTCTAGACGAAGCCATAAAAGACGAGAGTATTAACGCGACACGAAGACTCTATAAAGTGACTGTCAAATGATTGTTCAAAAGGTACATATCCCCTTTTTTTAATCCTAAATAAAATAACATTTCGAATGTTGCCGGCTTTTTAAAATTCTCCAATAAAATCAATAGTTTTTGTATACTTGAGTTAGTGTGAAAAATTACTAAGTTTGGTTAAAACTTAACTAAACTTAGCTTTTACATTTGACCAATTGTGAAGATGAATCGCATGTAACAAAAAGGACGTTAATTATGAATGTAGAGGGCTACACCGGAGGGTAGACCTAGAAAGAGATGGCTGGAGCGTAAAAGGTGACATTATGAAGGTAGTGATGACTGAGATCAGTTATTTAGGAGACGAAAACCCGTTGCGCCGACCAGTGGCGCGTATAAGGCAGTGAAGATGATGATGTTTTAACCAATCGCAGAACATATTTTATTATTAGCAGTTAATTAATAACGATAAAACTAGTCATAGGTGTTCAAGAAATAAATATAAATAAAAGACTAGGCATATTTAACAAAAAAAAATCCACCGGTACTTTCTCTAAAAGGTACTAAATCGGTTGTCAAGGTTAGTGCCACCTAATAAAACATTTAACAAAATTGAGTTTAATATTTGGTTACAAAATAAATGACATATTGGCAATTTATTTAAATAAAATTAATAATATTGACACGTGGTTTTGAAGATCTATCAATAGAAAGCATTAGTAAGATTATGTGAAAAATGTTTAAAATGAAGTGCCAACAATGCCTAGTCTATGTATCTTTTGAATCTCTTTGCCAAAAACAATCAAAACCTAACATCTGGCAAGTGTAAAAAATCTCAGATTTGCTTGAAAGCTTTGCTACGACTAATACCTTCCCCTAATTGCTTACATAGGCCGTTAAAAGCACACCTTTGGCCTCTTGAAAGTCGTTACATTAAAGGGAATATATTTAAAAGTATAATGCGAACGCTTCACTCAACAATGCTCTATTGAAACCCTTACATCGGCGTTTTAGCTATCGATTCTGTTTTACAATTTCACTGCCGCACTTAGAACTTTTAAGGTCTTTATGGTATCTTATACTAAATCATCTTGATGGGAAAAGTTGCCGGTAAAAGGAGTGTTGGTCGTCGAAAGAAATCGTGGTTGCGAAAGAGTGGACAGGAATTGCGAGTGCCGCCCAACTATTTCGCCTCGCAAGAGATGAAATAAAATTTGGAAAACTGACCACCAATCTTCGCTAGTCGGAGAGGCACCTTAAGTAGAAGAATACTAAATCTAGGCTTAAAAATACAATGCAGTAATAATCTATACTAATGTTTTAAAGAGGAAAGATTTGTATTTTTGTATGTATTGGAATAACTCAAAAACTACTGGGTCGATTTAAGAAAATCTTTTACTATTAAAAATCTAGGCTATCAGTGAATAACATAGGCTATACTTTTCATTATTTTTTTTTCCAGTGTCCGAAGTCGCGGGCAGCAGCTAGTAAGTAATAAGTAGAATCCTAAACATTGCTAGAAATATTTAAAACAAATATTAATTGTCAGACACTCTTTAATATCAGAATGTGACTATTTTTGTTAACGTTAAGAATTTTTAATTTACAAAAATGTTTTAAATTTTGCACCCTCATTAAACAAATCAGCTGTTTTTAAAGTCTCCAGAATTAGGATCGTTAAAAGACCTTATTCCCTTCTTTTGATACTTCGTTACGTGATTTTCTTAAAGGAGGTATTAATTAAATTTTAACAAAAATCAGCTAGAAAGGGAGAAACTAGTCGTGTATTTACCGAGTTTCCTCTGATATACAAGAATTGCTGACACTCCAAGAACGTCGACACGAAATTAGAGCTTTACAGAGCCCCTCTTATTTTCACTTTACCAGTATAAAATTCCCACCAGCATTACCTGACCTCCCCTCCCCAAGTTACCTACTGACAAGTTCAAATATTCATCTTTCTAGTATCACGTCTCACAGACCAACTAATAGCGGACGTGTCAGGCTGCCGAATTGGCGAATTTTCCAGCGACGACGTACAAAAATTGCGGTGTGGTTTTTCCACCGTCTGTTTCTATATTTTGTTACTTTTCTTTTTATATACGTTTATTGGTGGCGGCTTAAGGGGTAATTTATGTGTGCATGCGGAAGCGACGCAGGCTTTTGTTTTATCTGTATGGATTTTTATGAACGTGTCTATTTCTTCTGTGTTCTACTGATTGAGGATGTTATTGACTTTGTTAGTAAACAGTTGCTTATTTACTAGCAACTCTTATTTCTTACGTTAGATAGAACATCATAAACTTGTTCTGTCTGCCTCTTACAATAATCTTTGTCGTTTCTTTTGTAACTTAACAATATTCTTCCAAAATTACATACTTAAATTTTAAATTTTCCGATTATGACTTTTTATGTACACTTGTATGCAAATCGTGAATCAATTTAGAAACCCAACTGACAGTTTTCCTGATGAACCGAATTGTTCAGTTAAAGCTCTGCGTGTGTAGACAGTTGAACTGTTCAGTAAAAAACAGTATTAACTAAGCTTATGATTGCGAGCGATAATTTATCGTTATCTAGATAGACTTATGGATAAATACTAATAAAAATCTTAAAACCTCGCGGCCTAAACTCTACTTACAATCTGACAGACTTCAAAAGTGAAGGGAATTTGGAGTTTAAGAGTGGATTTATCATTTAAAACGCTGTTACAAATTTAAATACCGTTCCAGTTTCAGATGTTATTCTTGTACACCAATCTACTTTCCAAAAATTTCGTCTTGACTGTTAAAAATATCTAAGATCGCAATTCCACGAACGATATCATTAGACATAAGAAAAAGACGAATCTCTCCACCGTATCTACCTTTAATATAAAAATTATGCAAGCAAAATAGGAGCCCAAGGAAACTTCGACCATAAAATCTTAAATAAATGCCGGCTTAATCGGCGCGGCAAATTATCTCATTTTTAGAAGCGTTTGAAAACCGCCATCCCCCAACCCCTGTTATGCTAGTTTTACACGAGGGCATAAAGAACAGAGCAGTACAATGCACAGTACTACAACTGTTTTACCGCAGACATTTTTAGGCCACAGATAGGCTTCGTAAGACGGTTTTAACCTTGAAGGCAATACAAATGTACAGTTTTGTCACACATACACTAGGATTAGACTATAGGTTATTGTAAGGTCAAAAAGGCACAAATAGCTCGATAATATTAAAATAAAAGCTGCATTACCTACTGAAATGTCAACTGCTCTGTTCGATTATTCCGTCCTCGTGTGAAACTAGCATTATGGAAATAAAGTGGCCATGCCCCATTACAGCTGAAGTTTGGTAACATAAATCGGAAATGATTTCATCTGATTTTGCTAACGAATCGCTTAACTGGCGAGATTTCTGTCCCGAATTTCACCTGTTTAATAACTTCGATGGTATATTTTATTCACTAATTTAATATTATATCAGAGAAGATTAAATTTTTCAAACTAAATGTATATTAAAATCAATTTCTAAATTTATATTCTTCGATAATTTGAGTGTGCGCCTGGAATTAAACTTTCACACAACTGTGTAGTCTCGCTTTTCTATGAGCTTATATGAAGGTGTACACTACTCGATTTTAGTTGTGCAAGTAAACCGTTGAATTGGCTACGAAACAATCGACAATCACACAACAGATCTGTCATAATTTAGTCAAAAATGTGCACCCGATCTAAAAATAGATGAACCATGTTAATCTTTAAGTATATTGTTTTTAAAGAGTAAAATTCTTAAGAAATATGAAGTGTCATTCGATTATTTTCTTGTGAGTTAGGAAAAGACTGTCTTTTTACTATTACATCTCCATATTTAACAATTCCTTGATCTAAATAAGAATGTTGTAAAAATCAAGCATAAAGCTGGGACTGACTTTACCTGGTGTAACCAGATATCAACTCAGTTTTCTTTACTTACTTGTAATTTGATACTTGCAGCTCTATAAGCGCGATCCGCTGTATTCTGCGCTTGGCAAGTGAACGTCTGGTTGTGATAACTTCTTCTAGGACGAAGATGTAGCACGGATCTACAAAACATACAATACATTAGAATTCCAAAGTAATATTTTTTTATTTAAGCACTATATCCTTGTTGGTGAAGCCACCTCCAATTCTCCTTACTTTGTACCATCCTTTTGACTTTATGTCACAAATATCTTCAGTCTTTTTAACCAGTTATATGTTTATCTAGTTTATGTTAATTCCTGATTTGTAACCATTGTATTTTGTAGACATGTGAAAAATGGTACATCTTTAAAAATTCTTTGCGATGTAGCACAGATTTCGATTTCGATGTTTTATTATGTTAATTATATTTCATGCTAGAAGAAGCGTTGCTTTCCTTAATTCGACGAAGATGTACATGTATGAAAGAGAACATTTCCCTATCCTATGTGTTAGTATAAAGGTTACCTCGCAGTGAACCTGCGGCCATCAGCCATCTGCTCCACGGTGTACGTGACGCCTTGCGTCAACACGCCGCCCTCCGCATCCACCCATGTTATCTAAAACGATTATAAAGGAATTAACACTGTGATTAATTCCACCCTTTAAATACTTCGAAATTTTATCACTAACTCATATACTTTCATGTATTAAGAGAAAATTGTAATTCAGTAAATTTTAATTTAGAAAGTAATCGGTAAAAATCAATATATACGAGAGCTAAACGATGAAAATTGTTGAAATATGATTACAGATTACTAATATAAATACGAAAGTTTAGATGGATGTTTATTAGAGATTATAGCCTAAACGGCTCAACGGATTTCGGTGAAATTTGGCATAGATGTAGAGAATAGTCTGGTTATCTGAATAGAAGAACACAGTGGCTACTTGCAATTGTTTTTTAATTCCGCGCAGACAAGGTCGAGGTCGAAAACTGGTACCAAATAAAGATAAAAATGCATTATTATATTACAATAAGTAGAAATGTCATCACAAAAATATAAGCTAAATTCGACACAGAATTTACGCAGAAAGTTATTGCTAAACATTTTAAATATATGTAACTTAAACTGAACGTTACTTTAATCCTATCATAACAAATTCAAAAAACATTTAAAGTAAGCAAGCAAGCTGTTTAGAGTTTTGTTGAATTCATTTCCAGACCACAAGACGAGCAACTGGAGTAAACACGGTCCATTAGGAACTTAATGCTACACAAGAATCCTCAGACATTCAGTGGTTAATGAGTGCTCGTAAAACGTCATTATCATACTAAACTAACGTATCCTAACCAACATCGAGCAATTGTCTGCAAGTGTACATACTCGGAGTAGATAAAAACAATTAATTCAACCAACTCCACATAATTATTGTCAATGTTGAATTTATTACAACACATAATAATGGTTGCCTAATCGACCGTGTTAATGGAATTAATAAAAGCCGGTTACCGAATGTTCCCTGATAACGTAGGGATGTTTAATTTGTTTCTAAATGTACGATTTGTTAAAGAATTGATAGTGGAACGTTCGATTCATTAGTTATCTTTTTAGTAATCGTAAATGCTTCTTTTATGTTGACATCAAGAGGGTCAAAGTTATCTTGTTTTGGGTAATAGCTTAATCTACTGTTTCCATTTAATTTTATTTTACGCGGGAACGGAGAGTTTATGGAACAATAATAATTAGCTAAGGGGAGATGATATTTTTCTTAATGGTATGGTAATGGTTTATTCTCCGCTAAGATAAATAAAGACAACTCAAGTTGTAAAAGAGAATTATGTGAAATAACCTATGTTACTTTCATGAGTTTTAATTTTAAATGTTATTCAAATATTAATCGAAATCATTTTACCTCAGCAGCTGGTTTTCCTCCAACAGAAACACATTCTAGATCAATTTCCTGGTCTTCAACAGCTTGGAGTACAGGACTTTGGAGTATCCTCGGCGGCTCTGGTGGTACGAGAACTGTCAGTCTGGCATATCTTGATCTGATCGGTGGTTCACCTAATAAGAAGTAATGGTTCATGTTAATTTAGTCAAGGTAAGTAAATGTCAGTATTATTGCGGGTACACTAATTCTTAAATTTTAAGTATCAGGTCCCCTACTACATATCTCTTACCAGTTGTCATACCGAAATATTTCCTTCTTAGTGCGCGCGCACACCTTTGACGAAACTATCGCACAACTGTTGTGCGATTGTCCATTGTTTCGCAGCCAATTCAACTGTTTAGTTGCACAACTAAAAATCGAGTAGTGTACGTACCTCCATATAAGCTCATAGGAATTAAAGTGCGACTAATCAGTTATGCGATATTTTAGTCAAAGTTGTGCGCATGCTCTTACTTGTAACTTCTGTACTTCATTCGGTCTTTTTGTTTATCATAAAACAGAGAATTTAAAGATTTACTTTTTGTCAATGTCACAATTTGTTCGTTCTGAATTTAATCTCATCTGTCTGTTCCCTTTTCTAAGTTTTTTTTTTTTTTTTATAGTAAGGCCATAGTTATTTAAGTCGTTACATAAAATCTACCTTTGCGAAGCTATTAACATATTCTGCTAGACGAGGTTTTTGAAATAGATATAAATAAGTGAATTTATTATGATTGAATCTGTACAATTTCCATCGTAATGTGGAACCCCTTAAAGGAAATTCCAAGATTTATTTTCGTATATCAATTCGCGGCTACGGTTCTAAATCCTGCTTCCGCAAGAAACGCATTGATTGGAAACGTTTCAAAGCATTTTTTTCACAAATCTCGAAATAAAGTACAAGATTTGGTAAAGAATTATCAAGACTTATTAAACAACTAGCTGTTCCCATGCGACTTCATCCGCATAAAATTATAAAAATATCATTTTATTGTTTACATTTGTCAAATTATCAATAAAATGTCAAAATGACATGACTGATGTCAAACCATGGCAACCTTGAATTCTTGATGTTGGCAGCAACTTATGGTCTCTTTCCCACATTAGGGTTTTTATCCAAAATATTTAACCCTGACGTGAAAATATATAGCCTAAAGCTTAACGGAAATGTAGGGTTTTTTTTATTAAAAGAAGAGTTATTCAAAAATATGCTGTGATTGCTGACATCTTAGGCAACAAAGAAGTGTGTGTTTACGCTTTATTATATTAGTATAGACTAGCTTTCGCCCGTGATTCCGTCCGCGTGGAATTAAAAAAATATAAAAACAAGTAGCCTATGTGTTCTTCCAGATTATCCTCTACATCTATGCCAAATTTCATCAAAATCCTCAGCAGTTTAGGGTGCAAACTCTAACATCCATCCATTATCCATCATTCTAAACATTCGCAATCATAATATTAAGTAAGATATAAGAAACAACCTAATCCGATATCACATTTTACAAAACTTCATAATACATAAATCCTAAATAAAAATGTGAAAAATAACGTAATAATTTCACAGACGTTGGTTGTCCACAGACTTGTAAAGAAAAACAACATAGTGTAAAATGCAATTAATTTGTCAGTTAAAATTATTCTAATTACTTAATGTATTTGACCTGATTCAGACGTTAGTGAGCGTAAAAGCCGCTGACTTAAACTATATACAGTAGTAACTGATTTAATATTAACTGATGTTCATAGAACAAGACGAATTTAAACAGCAAAGCAAAGTCAAACAGCTGAAAGTTGTAGTTTGCGAACAGTGTCACAACTGTCTTGTTTACTCTGTGGCTTACTCCTCTCTCGTATTTCTAAATTTATATATTTTACTAGCTTTCGACTGCGACTCCATCCGCAGGGGATTAAAAAAAACAAAAGCACCCTATGTGTTGTTTCTGAATATTTTCTACATCTATACCAAATTTTATAGAAATCCGTTCAGCCCTTTAGGCTACAAACTTATGTATAGACCGACGCTTGACAATATGTTTCACTAGCTTTCGCCCGCGACGCCGTCCGCGTGGAATTAAAAAACAAAAGTGAGTAGCCTATGTGCTCTTCCAGACTAACCTATACATCTATATCAAACCTGGCAATCCTCAGCAGTTTAGGCTACAAACTCTAACAAACACCCATTCATCCTTCAAAACTTTCACATTTATAATATTACTAGCTTTCGCCCGCGACTCGGTCCACGTGGAAATAAAAAATATTGAGTAGCTTATGTGTTTTTCCAGATTATCCTCTACGTCTATGCCAAATTTCATCGAGATCAGCCGTTTAGTCTACAAACTCTAACAAACGTTCATCCAACTAAACATTCACATTTATGTATAACTAGCTGTTCCCATGCGGCTTCATCCGCATGAAAAAAAATCCTTTATTTTATTGTTTCGATTTGTCCAATTCACAATTGCAAATGTTAAAATTCAAATACACAAATGACACAACCATGGCAACCTAGCTTCCTTGATGTTGGCAGCTTATGATCTCTTTCCCACATTAGGGTTTTTATCCAAAATATTTATCCCCTAAGATTAATGGCGAGAAAAGATATAGCCTAAAGCGTGTCGTAAGTTATAAAAAATATGCTGTAATTGCTTACATCTTAGGCAAGAAAGAAATGTGTTTTTACGCTTTATTATAATAGTATAGATATAAAATTAGTACAGTTATAGATATAATATGTGTAAAATCAAAAGTCTCATAGTTGCAATGTTTGTCTTTTGTTTTTTGACGTTGAAAAGTTAAATATTTCTTTTGTTTTAATGTTCGCTTGTTCATATATCGAATGGTGGTTTAAACTTTTTAATACTCGCCTCTGGGCTTATCGTTTTGGAATTGAAAATTTCAAATCCTGTCTACGAACATTTGGCGTTCACAAAAACTTTTCCATTTTCATATTGACGAGATTTCCGTTTGTTTTTATCCAATACCGTTGCATAGAAATACATTTTTTGACTTCCTTTTTTTTATGAATATATTTTAGTATTTATAATTACTTATGCAAAACCTAAATAAACACAAAACTGCACATTTGTTAATTAAAAAATATATAATTGTAGTTTCATCATAATTAGCATTAAAAGGTTAGCGTGGTATAGACATATTCGACGAGACGATGGGGACATAAACCACAAAGTGTTAAGAATGAATGTGGATGGCTACAAAAGAAGAGTAAGACCTAAGAAAGTGTGGATGGATTGTTTGAAAGAGGATATGCTTAAGAAAGGAGTGGTTTCTAATATGACAGCTGATAGAGATGTATGGAAGAGCAGCATACTGTGCCGACCCTCCGTAAGGGATAAGGGCAAGTTGATGATGAGTTTTATCATAATTAAAGTTGTTGAATTTGTGTTCAATTTCATCATTTTAATGGTTATTTTATTTGACCAATAAACTTGAGGCGTCCATTAATTTCAACTAATCTATTTGATAACACAGCTTAAAGTTTTGCGGTAACATTTCCAGGCTGTATTTCCTATCAACCTGTTACTGGTCAAACTATTAAAACAATTGTGAGCGAAAACTGAAATTGAAACAATTGTCTTTAATCTTTGTCTTCTTAATCTGTTGTTTATAAATCGTGAAACCCGCCCGTTTGCAATTTGCCTAAAAAATTCTAACTGACATGTTTAATTTCTATACACTGTAAATTATATGAGCGTCGGTAGCTCAGTGGTTTAAACACTTGACTTGTAATCTACAGGTCTTGGGTTCAAATCCCGCCATGTACCAATGTGATTTTCGATTTTTCATACGTACATAATTTACCCGACATTCTTACGGTGAAGGAAAACATCGTAATGCAACCTGCACATATCGGCGATGATATTCAAAGATATGTGTGAAGTCAACCAACCCGCACTAGGCCAGCGTGGTTGACTAGACCTTCTAGTCACCCTAAGTTTAGGATAGGCTCCGAGCCCCTCGGTGGGGGCGTATAGTAAGCTGGTGATGATGATGATGATGACACTGTAAATCTTCATAACTTGATCCCTCGATTGGACGTGAAAGTTTAATGACACCTTTTGAAGTATCACATAACTTTCAATCGGAACAAAGTCAGAACACACGTTAGTTTTTTTTTTCACATTGGACTGGTAACATATTTAAGGCAATGGTTATTTTAACTTTATGCCAACAGACGAGCTTTTAGTTAGAATTTAGCATTGTAATAAAATTATACGGCGAGTTAGTTTTGTGCTTGATACTAAAATATGAGAACCTCATTGAACTGTATTCAAACTAAAATAGAGCGAGCGTCGAAAGTTAAAGAGATAATATCGTAAATTATAGTTAAACGTACTGTTTGAAAAGTTTCAATTTAGGCTTCATTTAACTTTTTAATAATCTATTACCGCAATGGAGCATAAAACTGCTCTCTATGGCTATTCGCTACGATGTATAGGTCGAAAAAAACATCTGACTCGTTTAGAAATTTTGACAGATAATTGTTAAGCCTACTTTGTCACAGAAAAATAAAGGAACAACATAACATAACCAAGTATAAAGATTGATTGTGGTTACAAAAGCAGAAGAAGACCGAAGAAAAAAGAAGAATTTAGTTAAGAGTGAATTCAGATATGACGGTTCAGCCGTATGTATGGAAAGGCAGTACATAATGTGGCAACCCCCCGATAAGACAAGGGCAGGTTAATATTGACTTAGTCTCAGAAAATAACATGCTAAACATAGTTTAAAAAACAACATAAGAATGTTAATTTTTATATTCACGAGGGCCACTAAACTCAAGTTTCATGTCCACCGGGTCTGATAAATTTGTCAAACTATAATTATACAAACCGTCATCAATAAACCCAAAAATTGGTAACATTGATAGAAGTATAAAATAATCACGTGAATTAGTTACAATTATAAAGCGTAAAACGAAAATACAGTTAAGTGTAATCGATACAAATGAATGTTCCAATTAAGGTTATATTATAGGTTGAATAAGCAGATACGAGTTTGACCGGTGATGGCCGGCTTGACGAGATATTATGCTAATAAAGCCGCGTATAGACGACGCTATAGTTAATCTAATGGGAGCGTTTGAAAAATGACGCACCCAGATCAATACTTTAGA